GAAGATTGGCCCTGGGCTAACATCTGTGCCCATCTTCCTCTACTTTATATAAGACACCGCCACAGCATGGCTTGACAAGTGGTACGTCAGTCCGCGCCGGGGTTCTGAACCGGCAAACCCCGGGCCGCCAAAGCGGAGCGCGTGAACTTAACCGCTAGGCCACTGGGCCTTATAAAACGATGGACCTAGGTTAGACTTGTGCAGAGGGAACTGAAAGTACTTTTTTTCCTGTGCCTTATTGGTTACTCACTTATGTATGCTGGAGGAGAGTCAGGATAACGTCTGAAACATACTTTGAGCATAGAAAATTAGAGTTGAAGGATCTAAAAAGTTGTCCAGTTTACCCACCTAATTGATGTTTGAATCTGCTCGAGGACAGCCTGACACGTGGGTGTTCCACTCACGCTCAAGCACCCCCAGTGACAGCGTAATTGACTAGAAGGTACCCAACTGCATTCTCAGGAGGCTTGCATACGTAGATTTCTTCCTTAAACTGAGCCTGAATCCTTCTCCTGCCATTCTCGCCCATTGGTCTTGGTCCAGTTGGTCCTTCTGATTCTTAAAGAATACATACGCCTAATTCTTCTCCCACCTGATTACACCATATACACCCCAAGTCTAGCTTTTCTAGGTTAAAAGTTTTGGATTTCTTTAGTCATTCCTCACATCACTTGGGTTTCTCATCCTCTAAAATTCACATGAACAATTTTGGAAGAGTTGAATAAATAGGAGGGACTTGCCCTACCAGATATCAAGGCTCTTTATAAAGCTATAGTAATTAAGAATTTTAGGATTATAGTCTCAAATTCTATTTTAAAAACAACCCTCTTGGCATTTTAATTAGATTTGCATGAAACATGATTTGGGAATTGATGGCAACTTTATAATATAGCATTTCCCATCCACGAATATTGCTATTTATCTCAGGTTTTTAAAATGTCCTCCATTAATGTTTTACATGTTTCTCCAAAAAAATTTTTGTATATCTTGTAGATTTATTACTAGGTATCTTTAAGTTTCTTTTTCTGTTATAAATGGAATTTTAAAAAATTATATTTTCCATTTATTGTTTCTGCTATACAAGCAGTGCTACTGATTTTTGTATATGAATTTTATACCCAGCAATCTTGTTGAATTCTCATATTGATGTTAAGAGAGATAAATCTGATCAGGTCATGATTTATTATTATTATTATTGTTATTATTATTATTCTGTGAGGTATTTGATTTGCTAATGCTTTATATAGGATTTTCATACCTATGTTCTTAACTGAGATTGGCCTATAAGTTTCTTTTTTGTACTGTTATTGTTCAGTTTTGCTATTAAGATTCACGTGGTAGGCAATATTCCTTGCCTTCCCAGCGGTCACCCTCCATTTCCTCCCCATTTCCTAGAAGCAGATCATTCCCCTCTCGTACATCTTTCTCTTTTTAGCAAGGAGGAAAATCTTGTGTCTTATTGGCTGGAACCAGGTCACATGGCCATCTCTAGCTGTAAAGGTGGCCATGAAAGTGAGTACCTGACATTTTCAACCACAAGTTATTTAGAAATTTTTATATTTCTAAATGATGAGAAAGTTCATTTTTTGTTGTTGTTGTTATCAATTTCTTATTGTAATGCTTTGTAATCAGCCAACAGGATCTACACGATATTGATTTTCTGGTATTTGTTGAGATTGATTGCTGGCCTAGTTTGTAGTCAGTTTTTGTACATTTTCACGTGTGTTTGAAAGCATGTTGGTTCTAGGGTCTATTAATGTCCACTAGATCAAGTTTGTAATTCTGCTGTTTACATCTTCGCTGTTTGCTAAATTGTTTATCTATTTGATCCATCAGTTTATTAAGTAGGTATGTTAAAATCTCCCATTATAACTTTAGGCTACTTGCGATTTTGTCAGCGTTGCCATATATTTGTTGAGCTAGGTTCCAGTTCAGGATTTAACTCACATACCTTTATTGGGACCCTGATCTATTTCGATTTATCTTACCATCAAAATTTATATTTTCTATTTACCATACTTTTTGTAGGCTTCTCTTTGTTCTTCCTTTGCCATCTACTGGATTGATCAAGTTTTCTCTTGGAAGTTACGTACTGTTTTACTATTCCTTTATTTTATTTTATTTTTTAAATTTTATTTATTTATTTATTTTCCCCCAAAGCCCCAGTAGATAGTTGTATGTCATAGCTGCACATCCTTCTAGTTGCTGTATGTGGGACGCAGCCTCAGCATGGCCGGAGAAGCGGTGCGTCGGTACGCGCCCGGGATCCGAACCCGGGCCGCCAGCAGCGGAGAGTGTGGACTTAACCGCTAAGCCACAGGGCCAGCCCTTACTATTCCTTTAGAGGTTAACTTTATATTTTGAATATGCACACTTGTCTTAAACAATTTTAAATTAATCAACATCACTTTCTTCTTTCTAAACAATAGTAGCAACTGAGAGTATGTTTTATTTTACTATAACTACTAACCTCTCATCTTCTGTTATTATTTAAATTCCACAAATATACCCCAAATTACTCGTTATTAGTATTTTTTTTTTAGGAAGATTGGCCCTGAGCTAACATGTGTTGCCAATCTTCCTCTTTTTCTTTTTTCTCCCCAAAGCCCCAGTACCTAGTTGTCTATCCTAGTTGTAGGTCCTTCTAGTTCTTCTACATGGGACACTGCCTCAGCATGGCTTGATGAGTGGTGAGTAGGTCCACACCCAGGATCCAAACCCACGAACCCCGGGCCGCCAAAGCAGAGCACATGAACTTAACCGCTATGCCGCCAGGCCAGCCCCCATTATTAGTATTTTTAAAACCTTCTGTACTCATTTAGATTTGCCCAGATGCTTACTGATTTCTTTGTTTATTACTACTTCTATATGCCCTCTCCTCCTTCTTGGGTTCAATTTCCTTTTATTTCAAGTACATCCTTTAGTAGTTCTTTCAATGTTGTTCTCACAATTCTCAGTTCTAACTCCCCATTTGTGTGGGCCAGGGCCAATTTCCTGTCCCCTTATGGGCATGACACCCCCAGCCCCTAGATGTCAGGGTCTACACTCAGTTCTGACATCCTCCCTAGCACTAGCTCCCTAGCTTCCCTAGCACTAGCTCATGTGCTTTCTACTCTGATTTGAGCTTCTTCTTTATTTCCAGGACCTGAGGATTTCCCTTTCCTTGTTTTGAACTCGGCTTTATATTGTTATATTTCATCCTGTGTTTGTCATACATGGTGGGGGGAGGGTCCACATTAGTCTTTTTAGTTACTATTACTGGAAGTCCAGATAGTCTATTTATAACAAATTTCCCTCTTACTAATGTTTATTATTCTCCTTTAAAATAAATAGCATATATTTTGATAGAGAAAACAGACATGACAGAGACAGCTGGACATGTCTCGTTCTGTTTCAGGAAAAGTTATAAAGTTTTCTACAATTTTTCTTGAATTTGGTATATAGGAAACACTCCCCAGGTAATACCTTGGGAAAATGCAATCGTCTGCCAAGAAATGGAATTTTCTGTAGATTTGTATCTATTTTCTTGCATCTCCTTCACTTCTCTTTGCTCTGCAGAGGTGATCCCTACTCAAGAGTTGATTTACACCCTCTGCACAAGAATGCCAGAGGAGCATATTGAGAAACCTGTCTCTGTAGGGAAGCCATCCCCAGGCTAGACCCAGAGCTCAGCTACTCCTGCAAATCAACAGCTGGCTGGAGGCTGAACTGGTTCCAAATCCTGGGAATTCACAGCTACTAATAGACGAATGGGATCAATTTCATTTGCATTTCATCGTGACTCAGGAATTCCCCGGTACTGCATCCCTGGGCAGATTAAAACAAGTTTGTTTAATCAGCCCACAGCCTTCACTGTCAGGATGCTGGCCTGAGAGATTGCCATATACTCTAGTGATAGGACCCAAACTCTCCTATCAAAAAGGAACAGTCCACTTCAGCCCGCCGGAGGGTGGAGGCCAGGTGAGAATGGTGGAATCCAAATACAGCTCCTCTCAGAGACGTCTGACCATGGTCAAATCACTGAGAATGGATACATATTCACAAGTATCAGTGAATAAACTGGGGCACAGTCCAGCTATTACGTTGGAAATGCTTTCTGAGTAATTACATATGGGCTCTAGGAGAGGCCATAGGTGAGGGTAAAGAGTATTCATGGAAATGATAGCAAAGACCAGACTGGTGATGCTCTGGTTCACGGGAGTAGACAGTTGCTTTCAATAAAATATATTCCACATGGCATGTGACTACAAATGTTCTGACCCAGAAAAGAAGTGAAGGGAAGAAAATGGGCTGTAGGGGGCTATAGGGTGGGAGAAGATCAGACAAGCCCCAATAATCAATTATGCCATTTGTGATAAGAAAATAGCAAGCGATTAAAGAATATATTTTGGAAAACAAAAATGGTAGTCCTGATTACTGCTGGTTTATAATCCTCAATTATAATTACCCTCCCAAAAGGGGAGATGACAACCTCTACCTTGGGAAGGATGGGTCGGTCCACTTGAGAAATGGAAATCACCTTGGCATTGCATATCGCTTTGGTCACAGGTGACCGTTTGTTTTGTCAATTCCCTTTGCGGACACCTGTGTGGTCATTGGCAATAACTGTAAATCTTACCAAGTCAAGACTCCAGTGGGCCACTGCTACTCTCAGCACTTCTCTACCACTTCCAGGCAAAGCCATCTCTTTCCTGCTGCTCACACTGAATCAAGGGAGACGACAGAGTCCTTTGATCCTTAAGATCAGATTTCATCGTAACATGTCACCCAAGGCGTTGGAAAGGGAAGCTGAAAGCTCCTCCTAATGAAAATGCAGTCGAGGACTATTTTGCAGAAGGCAGGGGATTCTGTTTTTGGAAGCAACCAGAATGGTGGATGCAGAGGGCGGATGTAATGACTTTTCCAGTCGCCTTTCCATCCCACACACTGCCTGTACCTGAGTCATGCCGTGGGGCCAGGTGGGAGACAGCCCGCAAGTGACACGCCATGCCGTGACTTACCTGTTGAGATACACCCGCTTCTCGGTGAACTGCCCGTTGCCGTGGTGAGGGTCCTCGAAGGGCTCATTCTGGACGACCTCCACCCCTTCTCCTCGGTCGCTCTGTTCGTGGCTGTGCTTGCTGATCATGTACAGCTGTCCGATTTTGTACTACAAAACACACAGAGAGGAGAGGTCAGCCCCGCTGCTTGCTTTCGAAAACACCTCCCGTCAACTACCGCGTGGCAAGCGACTGATATCATCAATGCTTTCTGCTGAGAAACGAAAGCAGACACATGGGCCTGATGTTACTTTTCCTCAGGAGTGACGAGAAGAACTAGTTGTGAGTAGAATGGAGAAATGGCGCATTCCTGTGAACATTTTGCATCACCTTGGCGAATGCTGTGGGTGGCTGGTGGTCTTTAAGGCTTGGCAGCCGATCGACCCATGGGTAGCAGCAGGGAGGCGGGAGTACTGGAGTCTCCTTTCCAATCTGGCCCTGCAGGGTTAAGTGGAGCTACAGCTATTTCACTTGGTCAAAGACAGGCTAGGGTGTGTTATTTCTGTCCCTCCTTTCTGCCTAATTAACTGCATTGCTCTCACAAGAGGCTTAGATGTTGCCTGTCTCTTCTATCACCTCTCCTAAAGTGCTCAACTCTCCTGGAGGCCTCTGTTCCCTAGAGCAGCAGTTCTCAGAGGCAGCTGGACATTAGAATCACCTGGAAGCTTCCAAAATCTCCAGACGCCCAGGTCCCACCATGAGTGGAAGCTGTGTTCTAAAGGCTGATCCACAATGAAGAAAATCTACAATATCTTTAACTCCTTTTTATCCAATTCCACTAACAGTGTGGAGCCTTCCAGCCTGAGGTCCCAGAAGCCACATATGCTTCCATGAAAATGATAATATGGAATAACATACAATATGAACGCTTTCTGTCCTGTCTTCATTTGTGAGCTGTTCCACTCTCCTCCCTACCTCTCTGAAAACCCTGGGGCCAGCAGGCATTTCTTCACCCAGTGAACTTCCAAAGCGCAAAACTAATTTGATGGAGACAAAGTGAGACAGAAAGAGAAAAAAGAAGGAGGGAGGGAGTAAAATGACTTTTTCTCAGAGTCAGGAAGCAGGACGATGACACCCTGCTGTAGCTGATCCCGCAGATTCAGTGTGAAACAACACACACAGCGTCATCATCATCATCGAGGCCCCTGGGATGGGGGAAAGAGGCCTGAGTCTGCAGCAAGCTAATGATGGCTCTGGGCTGTTCTCCAAAGAGCCCAGGCCAGCAGGGATGTAGGTCTCCTGTCTACATGCATAAGAGAGAGAAACAGATTTTAAATTAAGGGGGCAGGTGAAATGTACAAATGAACAGTGCAGTCTGCTCCAAAGCTGAGAAGACACACGTCCGAAGGTCCTTCTTTCATTCTGAGGCAGGTTCAGGGAGAGGAGTGTGAAGAGAATCTGAAAGGCTCTGGTCTGAGGTGAGCCGGGGGTGGGGGGTGTGGGGGGTGTGGGGGTGGGACGACGGACGTCGACGACGACACCAGGGGCCCGGTAACCATGACAATAGGAACGCAGCCCGCTGGGTCTTCTCAAAGGGCAGTGCTTCAATCTGTGCCACGCCCCTCCCCAGAAGGGTCTGCATTTAAAACGCTTTTAACATGAGTGTATGTGTGCTTGGGGGCAGGAGGTGCGCTGAGGATAAGAGCAGGAAGAGAAGAGAGGAAAATCAAAGATAAAATCTATTTTTAAAACAAATTCTGGAATCAGAAGCTTCCTGGCTTCCCCTTAGTAAGTCCTGCTCCTACTTTTGCTCATAAAGACTAACACTCTTTCAAGGAGAAAGACTGTAAGAAATAGTTTACAGATAGGAGATCTGTGAGATATACTTGTGAGATCAACACTCCACCTTGTGCAGACAGGCACACAAGCCTGTAACAGGATGTTCCGCTGCCCGGCGGTAGAGATTTCAGTGGCAACTGCTTTGTACTTGGAGTTCAAAAAATAAGAGTTTACCTATGATGGAATATTATTCAGCCATAAAAAGGAATGAAGTACTGATACTGATACTGCTAAATGGGTGTTATGTGTTGAGCTGTCTCCCAAAACTAATATGTTGACATCCTAGTACCTCAGAACGTACCTTATTTGGAGACAGGGTCTTAGCAGAGGTAATCAAGTTAAAATGAGGTCATTAGGGTGGGCACTAATGACCTCAACGGGACTGGTGTCCTTATACAAAGAGGCAAGTTGGACACAGAGACATGCATAGAAGGAAGATGAGGTGAAGTGATACAGGGAGAAGATGGCCATCTACAAGCCAAGGAGTGACCTGGAACACATTCTTCCCTCACAGCCTTCAGAAGGAACCCACCCTGCCTGCTGATGCCTTGATCGTGGACATCCAGCATCCACAACTGTGAGATCATAAAAATCTGGTTGTTTAAGCCACTCAGTCTGTGGTGTTTTGTTAGGGCAGCCCCAGCAAACTAATACCATGGGTACAGGATTTCCTTTTGGGGTGATGAAAGTATTTTGGATCTGGATAGAGGTTGTGGTTGCTCAACACTGTGAATGTACTAGATGCCATTTGAATTGACTTTAAAATGGTTAATTTTATGTTATGTGATTTCTACCTAAATTTTTAAAAAAAGCATTGTCTTTGCTTCTGAAGCAGATACTCCTGAACCAAAATCCTGTCAAAGGCTCTAGTGGGGGGTTTGGCAGAGGGATATGTCTACCACTGGACCACCTTCAGGAGCTCCAACCCACTCACATATGAAAAATGTACGGGATCAAGGATGACGCATGACACAGAAATGCCATTAGCCAGAGGCGAGTCAGCCCTGGCTGCGCTCAGCTCAAGTGCTTCCTGCTCCATGGAGAAGGGCATCGGCCGAGGCAGCCAGCAGCTGATCCACTGCGGCCAGAGGAGGGCCCAGCTGCCCGGCCTCATTGATCATTCCAGCGGCTCCAGAATGAGCCAGCACAGGGCAGACATCAGCCTTAGCTCACAAAGATAGCGTCAGTCTGGGGGCGACTGCCTGACGCCGGATGCACTAACGTAGGTGACATTGCTGGGGATGGTGGGACACTCAAGCCCAGACACTGAGATGGTCAAGGGCTCTGTAGCTGTCACTTCTTTCCCTCCCCAGCAAATCAGTCCTGCTCTGCTGGTTGTGGCCGTCTGACCAGGGCCATACAGAAGAAGAGGTTCTGTTGTTGTTTTTAAACCACAAATTGACTCACAGACACATGCATCAAGTGGATTCTCAGTTAGGGGGCAGAGGGCAGGACAAATAGTACTTGAAACATCTGTCTCAAAATCACCAGAGATCTCCTAAAAATGCTGAACCCTGGGCCATTCTAGCCTTTTACATTCAGACTCGGAGGGAGAAGGCAGTTGGGAATCTCACTCAAACGCACACTAAATGCTGAGAAGCCCTGGAGCAGAGAGTGGCGAAGGCGTCCATTGGTACTTGCTCAGTACTAAGCGGTGCCAAGGCCAAAATCTTCTGTCTTTAGGAGACCCGTTTCTTCTTCCCTCTTTAATACTAATTTCTTGCAAAGCTCCATCCCTAATTTAGTGAAAATACCACATCCCTGATCACCAACTCCAAACAAACTTGTATGTCAAATGAAGGCTGCCAAATCCAAAGACTCAGAAGGATTCTGAAGACTTTGAAGCCAGAGGATTGATAAGAGAATTGATGATGCTGACAGAGTGTAGCTGAATTCATTGCCTATTAGTGCAAGGCGCCAATTAGGTGCTTTATATTCATTTCCAATACTCACAATCATTCATCCACGTCGGTATTTACAGACGAGGAAGCTGAGTCCCAGAGAGGTTAGAAACTCCACACCACGCGGCTTCTAGGTGGCAGAGCTGGGATTTGAACACCACAGGTCTGTCTGTACTCCTTCTTCTCCACCCAACTTCAGCCCTTATTTCTCTAAGAGGTGAATTGCTTTCACAAATCTAGGCCTCACTATGATTAAAAAAGGGGGATCGTTCAGAGCCACCGCCTCTGAACTTTGCTATTTCAGAAGATGAATAACAAAAGTCTGATAGCATTTGAAAGATCAAAGTTGTTTAAACTGTGCTCACATATGGAATGGTGGAGCAATTATGCTCTAACTTTGTAAAATCTATTGTTATAATTCCAGAGTTTGGGTAATCATCATTACAGGCAATCATGATTAGAGACAGCTCCGCGCTGCAGGGCCAAGCCTCCGGGTGAGCCATCATCAGAACAGCTACCCTAAATAATTATCTCCGTAGTCAAAAAACATCGTAGGGATTCAGATCCTTCCCACTTGCACACAGTGCTGCACGTTTGATAGAGCTGCAAAATTTGAGGGAAGGCAGAGTTACATAACGTGCCTGGAGAAGCCGAGCGGTTTCATGAGTTTGTACTTTTGCAAACTCTACGCCTGGGCACGATCAAGTTACTTAATACAGTTCTACCTCAAACCTTGATTTTAGAAAAGGTGACCCCAAGCCAAAACTCCTGAGTATGGTAAGAGATTATTAACTGAGCACCAACAACACCTTAAACATTATCCTTGCTGAAAGAAGGACTGGACCCAAAATTTTAGGCTCAACAGAACTCCAAGCTATGACTGATTTTCACTTAACTGCCCCTGCCCCCCCACAACTGCTGAGCTTCAGAGATCTCTGCAAGGCCAGGCTCCCATATTCCCCCAGCTTAGAGAACCAAGGGGATGTCGTCTTCCTTCCAATCAAACCCTGTGTCATCCTGTCCTGTCCCCTTTCTCTTTCTCCATTAGTCCTAATATCATTTCAAAACATCATGACGTGAAAGGTGGGAACGACTGCTTTGCAGTAAACAGTACCAACTCCAGATAGAGTTATTCCCTGATGATATGACTCGGGACCTCAAGGCTCCAGGTTGGGAATCAGAATTTACATCTACTTTCACCTTTACCATCCAAATGGATGGATGCCACATAACCTAATAACCATGGAGAAGCACCTGTCTGTCTGACTTCACGTGATATCATGTATTTTTCCATCTGTGAAATGTGAGTGATTCCTGCCTGTTTCACTCTGGCTGTGTGGATAGTGCAAAGAGCAGAGGGTGAGACAATCTGGCATTCTTTGGAGTGACCCACATTATTCACATCACTATCAATGCTTTTGTCAAAACTC